CAACCTGATTTTGCTTCCCAGGTCTATAAACCCATACAAAATTGAACTCCCCAGAAACTCTTGCCAGCAAGTTTTCTTTAGAGTAAGCTTCTTCTATGTCTTGAAGTAGGTATTGGCCACGTTGTCAGTCACCACTATAAACTTGGTACCCAATAAGTAGTGCTTTCATATGTCAAGAAAGTGTATCACTACAGTTATCTCTCTTTCATGAGTTTAATACCTCTGCTCAGCATCCTTAAGCTTCTTGGTTTCAAAGGCACATGGATGTTCTTCCTGAACTAGAACCCCGCCGATTGCTCTATCAAAGGTATTAGTGTGTACCTCAAATGGTAAACAGAAGTCAGGCAGTCTCAAAATCGGTTCTATAGACATTGCCTGTTTGAGCGTTTCGAAAGCTTTCTGGCACTCCTTAGACCAAACCTATTATTTGTCCTTTTTTAGCAAGTCCGTCAAAGGACTAACCTTCTTGGAATACCCCTTAATAAACTTTTTGTAGTAGTTTTCCAAACCCAGAAAAGACCATAACTCTGTAACTTTAGTAGGTGCAGACCAATTAAGAATGGTTTTCACCTTTCTCTTATCCATCCTGACATGGCCTTTACTGATCCAATATCCCAAAAATATTACTTCTTGGTGACAAAACTCACATTTCTCCTTTTTGACATACAACTGAAACTCCTTCAGTTTTGTGAAAACCAATCTTAAGTGTTTTAAATGATCTTTCAGAGACTCACTATAGACTACGATGTCATCTAAATAAACCATAACAAAGTGATTAATGTAGTCATAAAACACATAATTCATTAAGTTGTAGAAGGTTGCTCGGGCATTTGTTAACCCAAACGGCATTACAAGAAACTCATAAGACCCATAACGAGTTATACATGCAGTTTTGGGTTCATCTCCTTCTGTTATACGCACTTGCCAGTAGCCTGCACGCAGGTCCAATTTAGTAAAGTATGATGCTCTTGACAACCTGTCAAATAAGTCTACAGCATTGGGCACTGGGTACTTGTTCTTCACAGTCACCTTATTTAGAGCCTTGTAGTCCACACTCATCTACATTGAGCCATCTTGCCTTTTCTGGAATAGCATTGGCGCGCCATATGGTGCCTTAGATGGTTAAATGTAGCCAGACTCGAGTAACTCATCCAACTGCTTACCCAGCCATCTAGTATGGGCCTGAGTAGGAGCCCTAGCACTCGGTTCCAACTCTATCATGTGATCAACAACACGTCGATGATGCAACTGCTTGGGAAGTTCTGGTCGTATCACTTCTGCATATTCCTCTAGAATCTCAGTAACATAATCTGGAACTTTAACAAACTGATCCAGTTTGATCTATTATCATGGCTGTAAGAAAGCTACAGTCTCCACTCTTTAAACCTATTTTCACTTGCAATGTAGAGATCTTCTCGATGCCATATTTACGATTTCCTTTCTTCTTATCCCCATAAGAAGCCACTGATGGAATGAAGCACGAACAACCCTGTTCTGCATAAAAATTCCTCCCAAATATGGCACAACAGCCACTTTGGCTTTCACAAGAAATCATTCCCAAGGATTATATCAAAATCATCTAAGGGTACCGCCATAAGACTGGTTTCGCCCTCCCAACAACCAACTTTCAAAGAAGTGACAACCATGCCTAAGATAGGCTTGGCCTCAGAATTCACAGCCTTTATCTTACTGGAATTACTAATTAACATTAAATTAAAGTTACTTACTTCCCTCTACGCAATGACATTATCAGTGGCCCCTGTGTCCACCTTAGCCAATACTTCCTTGCCATTCAGAGTCACTTGAATGAACATGTGCCCTTTCTGGAACAAGGACTGTTCTTCAGTAAGAACATTCATAAACTGTAAAGGATTGACTTGGGTAAGACTGTCCGAGTCTGAATCTTTTTTCGAAGTGTCATCGACAATAACACTTAACTTTTCTCTTTTGGGGCAGTCTTTAACACGATGGGGACCATTGCAGATAAAACAACTAGAGTTGGGCTTTGTCCCATTGCTATTACTCCCTTTGTTGTAATCTGCTTTCGACTTGCCAAAACCCCTATCTTTATCCTTCTTCTTATTCTTATCCTTCCTCTTGTCCTTGAACTTGAAGGATTGGCCTTTCTTTCTTCCCCTCTTTAGACTTCTTCTTGTCTGTAGTTGTAGATCCTGTCATCTTGAAATCGACCAGACAATCTGCCGTTGTCATTACAGTATGAAGGTCCTTCACACCTTGCTTATGGAGTTTTGCCTGAGCCTATGGTTGTAATCCAGACATGAAATTGAACAGTTTGTCTTCCTTTAACATATTTTGAATGCCAGCATCAAGGAACTGAATTCCTTCACACAGTCATGAATTATGCCTATGTGTTTCAATTTCTTCAAAGATTCCTTTGCAATCCACGCAGTGTTCTGAGGCAAGAACTGATTCTTCAATTCCTTTTTCAGGGTCTCCCAGACTTCAATTCGAGACCTGCCCGTAGAAGCATCATCCTTTATCCGTGTGCGCCACCACAGTTTTGCATCACCGGATAGATACATGCTTATAATGGTTACCTTCTCGCCATCAGGGATCCAAATGGCCTTGAAGTACTGCTCCATGTCCCACAAGACATTTTCCAATTCTTTGGCATTTCGGGTACCATTGAAAGACTTAGGATCTAGCACCTTGATCTTTTGTTAAAGAGAATCACCAGCGCCTCTGGAACTGCCATGAATGGCCCTTTTCACCAGTGACACTTCATCTTCAATGTTCTTTCAGATTTTTCTTGAAGACATCTGTCAGAGACTCAACATCTTCCATAATACGAGTCAATTGCTCTTCAGTGGCCTGCATGAAATCACCAACCCCTTCAGAATCATTCTTCAAGATCTGCACTTCAGAAGCTAAGTTTTTGATCTGAAACACAAGGCTCTCTACATTATCTACCTCTGTTTCTGTAGGAAAACCCACAAAGTTCTATAATTGGGAAACTCTCTCTCTAGTATTGCCTCCAGTCATCGTAGAATGAGGCTCTGATACTAATTGTTATAGGGTCAAATGACACTAAGAATTTTTTCATCTATAATGGCACTTGGGGCTACCAAGTCTCAGCCAACACAACACATATATAATATACAATACAAATATAGGCACACATAGTTTACAGGACCAAGTCCCAACCTTTGATCTTATTAAACAGAATACAAAAGACACAATTTCGTACAAAAAGCCAAGGCTCTCATTGCATACACTGCAATGTATACTCTACCTAATCTAAGCCCCCTACATCCCAATATATAGGCACTCAAAGAAAACTGCCTACAACTGGCCTGTATGTGTCTGTTTCTAAACACAACAGATAAGGTTGACAAGCCCAACATTCTAGCCAAATAACCCAATCAAACTCGTTCAGCGCACCATAAAAGTTTCTCCCTCAACTAATTATCTATGTCAGACATATAGATTCATATATTCAGTTGGATATCCCCTAACTTATAGGAAATTGACCAATAACAACATGCCATAGCAATAATTGATCATAAGCCATCTAGCATATCTGTATATACTATCACAACAGAATATAAGTTACAAGGTTTCTCTGGAACAACTGATCACTGGTCATATCTCAACTGTTCCTACATGCCTCCCTTTGATTGGATACTTACTAGATAGGCACACCTGCTGCCCACCAAGTGATATGTGGGTGCCATGGTCTTAACCATGGTCCATAAGCCACACCAAGTCAAGCCCACAAGTCTGAACCCACATATAAGTGCCTTTAGGTGTACGATGTGCCAAGCCATGCATGCCCGTGTGCACGACGATGCGCACGCTACCTGGGTGCCCGTGCATGCTTGGGTGCTCGCGCGCTCGACCATAAACATTTGGATGCTTCAAATCTCGTGCCACCACCTTAGGGTGGTGCCACCCGTGCCTATGCACGTTGGCCAAGCCCTCTTCACAAGGCATGCCATGGCCTAGCTGATGAGCTATGTTGTTGAGCTCCAACTACCACACTCCCTAGTATAGTTGTTGAGGATATTAGAACTCTGACAGGAACAGACTTCACTATGTCCAAGGAATCATAATGGCCATATTGGAACTTCTGGACCTCCAACAAACTAAATTTCGTTTTCACCAATAGTCTTCTAAGGTTTCAAAGCACCTCCCATCAAATTTCCGAGTCCAAACTCCAAACTTCATTTCCATCATAATTACAAAAATGCCATTGAGCACCTTCTGTGTACGCTGAGCATCCTTCTGTGCACGTTGAGCATCCTCTTGGCATGCTGACAGCCTCTGCGTAAGCTGACAACCTATTCAGTGCACACTACGCACCCTCATGGCTGTCAAGGGTGTCACTAACCTCTCTTTGACAAACCCCTATGTTTCAAACAAGAGCCAAAGTGATCCCAAGACATGGCATGGCCCTGAATGCCTATGCCTTCCCTTCGACAAATGTCAAGGGGCCTAGGTTCCTTATACGAAATTGTGTAATTTGTATTATGTTTAATAAGATCAAGGTTGGGACTTGGTCCTGTTAACTGTGTGTGCCTATATTTGTGTTTCTATATTGTGTGTGTGTTATGTTGGCCGAGACTTGGTGGCCCCAAGTGCCATTACAAAGGAATAAATTTATAGTGTAATTTGACCCTGTAATAGCTAGCATGGGGCCGGCGCATACTGGCTCTGCCCCTGCCTCCTACCTGTGTAGAAGCATTTTTTAAACCGGACAATATTCTCCGAGTGTGAGACATGTCAATGATGGGTTCAAAAATGGATGATCTGCTTAAACCAATGACATCCCAGTAGGCAGTACATAAGAAAGAGGTGTGCATCCAAGTCATTAAAGGTCTGGTGCCTGAATAGGGTCACAACACACTGATGTTTTGCTGTCAAAAAGCCATGATTGGTTTACTTCTAATCTGGTGTTGAATGTTTTAAGTTGGATGACCAATTTTAGCGTGACCAATTTTAAGTAACAGGTGTGATTAATATATCACAGAACAAAGTAATTAAGTTAAGAAAGTCTTTCCATTACGAACTTCAAGTCACCAATACAATTAAAATGTAAGTATGATTTTCCTTCTAGTTTTCACTTCAATGAACAACCTTTATACATATGCCCAAACAAAATTTTCCCTGGAAGCTCCATATCTATAGCAATGGTTTCAAGGGATAATCCACGCACCCTTTTGCAGGTCTTCCAGTTCTTGCAGCGATAAATCCTTCTGTTCTGCTTTCTGGATGGCACTAAAGGCTTGAACTGTGTTGCAATCCAAATTCATAGTGCCGTCTTTCTCACCGGACTGATTCTCCTCGTTGTCGAATTGGGGTTCGTCTGCTGGTCCATTTAGTCATAAGATTGCCTCTGGAAGCCCTAGTTTGCTATTACTAAGGAAGAGTTGTCTGGGAATATCACATTTGTGGGGACCTGATACTGCATCTGTCTGTGTCGTCAATGTTAACGACTCGGACAATGCTAGCAAGGGTTTTAACAGTAAACTTTGACTCTCAGTTTGTCTGTCTTCATTCCTCATTTCTTCCAGTAAAGCTTTGCTAGTGTCTATGCCTGCTTAAATTGATTGGAAAAAGAAGAAGAAAAAAGATGGTATGAGAATGGATATTGTAAATAAGTTCATTTGCTAGTCAGGATAATAAAAATACCCTCAACACTCACCTGCAAGGTATCCTCCATGGACGTAGCCACTAAATCTTTCGCTCGTGTGTTCTCCAGAAAAGAAAATCCGTCCAACTGGTTCCTGTCCAATCATGATACAAAAGAGTAGCTCCATTGTCAATGCCAAATCTATGTCTTGTATAAATCATCTAATAAGTGAGAACAATGTGATAACTGCAAAGTAAAATGAAGAAAAATAATTTGATATGATAGAAAGTATGTCTAAAAAGTGATCCCAAGAACGAATGCGATAAGAAATCATATTCCTCATATAGATTGTCCATATGACCCACGCTCCTCCCATATAATGCATTGCTTGAGAATGATCAAAGCACAAAATAACAGCAATTACTCTTTTCTTAAAGCAACTAGAGGATAAAATTATATTCCCTTACTTAACAGGCTAATATCACAAGTGTGTAAATAATCAACTCATTTTCGAAAGATAAGAAAAAATGCACACCTTAATATTATGAACCATTTGTTCATTGAAATAGATAGGGTAGTTGCTGTAGCTGCCACGCTGGAATCGATTGGTCCACCAACGAGGCACAAGAATATCAGTGGCTTCGGGTATGTCAGGGCCAAACATGTTCCTTAGAACCTCCATAGCTTCTTTCAGTGTTTCCTGGTCTGACTGAGCTTCAACACGTTTGGATTCTCCGTTTGTCAATGTCACAACCAGAATATTGGATCCTGGGTAAGCATTCTCCATGTGCTGATGACATGGCAAAAACAAAGACCAGCTTGGATCAGTTTGGTGAGTGTTTGAAAACAATTAGATGATCCAATCAACAACCACATATAAATATAATGAACTATATATAATATCAATCAGTCTGTCAGTTTATTGTATTATAAGTTTAGAATCTATTCTGATTAAATAAAATATTGAACACAGCAAGATCCCACTGAGTCTCCCCCACGGGCAGTGAAGAATAAATTTGCGTATTTCCTAACTAAGCCAATGAATTAATTTAAAACTTTATGAATTAAAATTTAATAAAAAAATCAAAATATTTACTTGTAATCTCTTCACAAGAAAAAAACAAATGAGAAGCTTTATGGTGCAACAACATTGCCAGCTCTAATAGATTGACAGGAACATCACATACATTGCAGTAGGAAGAACCATTGGTAATCAATAATGCGAAAAATACAAATTTTACTGTCAGTACCAGAAAAGTAATTCCTTCTTAAGAATTATTAGATCATAATACAAAGTAATTAATTTAACCGAGTTGGAAAAAAATGGATCTTACCTAAGAGTAATTAATTTAATTTAGAAAGGGGCATCATGGTCAATTAGAAGCACAGTTCAGACTTTGGTGATTCACTGATATCAATCAAAGGTAGAATTCTTATTAGCATCTGGAAATAGTTAGTGAAAATACTGTGTGTGAAAGATGAAGACATGCATTATCAATCTTATGCCAGAAGTGTCAGCATAATCAAGATCTAGTTCCTTAATGAAAATAGATTGACAGAAAAAGAATAACAAAATCTATAAATACACAAAAGTAGGATCGTCCAATAAGATGACTCCATAAATGAGCTGGTCATTCCTTTCAACATGCAAATATCATAGCAATATGCAGTCATGCAAGTTATGCAACTCAACGAGTGATTAATCAAATGAGATACTCTGTTATGCAACAAATAGTAAATTTTCAATTATTAGTTGGTACGCTAATAGGCAGACATGTCAATTATTTGGTGATTTGGTGATAATGTAAATTATATGCTATGAAACAAGAAAACTGTCACCCCAGAAATAATAAAAAGTCAGATCAAGGAGCATGTGCCCCACAAATGGTAATATATATATATATATATATATATATATATATATATATATATCACACCACTAATGAAATTGAAACATTGTCTTTAATTTAATTCCTGAAATGACTAAATAACATACAAACATATAAATATGATAAATTCAAATCCTGAATGCCAAGCAAAAAAAGAAGGGAAATGCTGTCAAGCATGAAAATAATAATGCAATAAAAAGATTCAAGTTTCATGAAAAACCAAACCCACCTAATGAAAAAATCAAAGATAAGAAAAGGAAGAAGAGAAAATTAACACACAATAACACAATAAATCATAGGAACCTGCCAGAACGTGTAGTAGCCTCTTCGCTCGTGGGCATAAATGAAGAACTCTTTCTCGGGACCACTAGGCCAGAACTTGTATGGAAACTTTAGGAAGATCTTGGTGTACACCATCACATCACATTTCTCAATAGCCTCTGTTTTCCACCTCTGTCAATTTTTTCTAGCTGTTAATTTTTAAACCAGAAAAGTAGGCTATGGTAGTAGCATTAAAGGGACCACAAACATACAAACAAAAACATAGAACAATTTATAAACGTTTTCCATTTAATAAACTCAAGTGTTAAGACAGTCATGAGAAAATTTGCCTCGAAAAAAAGTATCATTATATATAAGACATGTTGCACTGGTCCAGCAACTACCTGGCAAGCATATCTTGGCTTGGCCCCAAAACCATTTCCAGATAACAGTCCAAAGTTGGCTGGTTTGCTTTCTTTGTTAATGAAAGGACATTCCAACATATAACCACACCAACTAAGAACATTCATCAGGTTATAATCACCCAATTATTCATGTCTAGTGATCATTGCATACTGTTGCCCTATGGTGGCATCCAAGGATCGAGATTTTCACACGCATATCTTACATTTACGAATCCTCTTACTCCCAAATTCCCAATAATTTTGCAGCATCCACTAATTTTGTCACCATTCATTGTTTAGAAGGAACTCATTCATAACTTGTATTGAAACTTGAGCTACCTTTGTAGTCCCAAAATACAAAAACTGAAGTCAAGTATATACATTTCTATACTAATACATTAACATTTACTCGACCAAGACACAACAGCCGATGGGATTACAATATTTTGAATAATCCATGGTTTTTTATTCTATAAATTATTAACAACTTGCAATACACTACATAATTTGTAATTGTTTGGAGGATCAACATTTCCATCAATGTACTAATGTGTGTGTATTTTATTTTTTTTCTCAGTCACATCATTACATTGTATATTTTCTACATATAAATAATTAAAAAATGCCATTCAATTCCTTTTCTTAATTTCCATTCTCTGTCACACAAAAGAAGCAAGTAACTCATTTCCTCATGCATATAAAAAGACAACTTGAACATTCAAGTCTGCCTCGTCAGCTAGCAAATACCAATTAATGCAGTAGCTCATAAATTCTGGAGCCTATTGTTAAAAAATATCTAGAACTTAGGTACTCCCACCTATAGGATTAGGAATCCAAAACCTACTTCTGACCCCACAAGTTCCATAATATTGTGCCTAAGCCTTCCAAACTCCCCAACCAATGCAAATAAATAATGAGCAGAAAGACCTAAGTCGACTCTTCCCGCGCTACATCATAAAATCAAGAGGCTTAAAGAAAATAATAGCTCTAAAAATTTTACCTTGCAAATCATAAATGTATCAATGTCCAAGGAAAAAAAGCTATCAAAAGATCCAATGTCTTATGATTAAAACAACTCTATCTACAATTCCAATCTAGCAGCTGAGAGGACGGTTTGAGAGAGGTAATGCTCCAACAATATTTGCGCATACTCGACTTATGCCAACGCAGTGACATTTTCACGGATATAATTCAAAAATAGGAGGCGGAATGGATTGGTAGCCGTTTGATGCATTAACGAGGGACTTGCCAAGCCATTTGGTCTCCTATTTCCAACCTCACTAATGTAACAATCATTTTCTATTTTACTTATATTAGATATAGAAACAAGAGAAGACTTACGGGCAATGGTGGTCTGAAAGCGATGAGGTTGCTTTGGAGGACACCAATGCTAACAGACAAAATCACGTAATTGGCTTCGTACAAGCAACCATCTTCAGTTGTCAGCATAATGCCGTTTCTCGAGTGCTGCAATTCCCGAACAACCTGCCAATTCCATGCAACGAGTCATTGAATCAGTCAAAAACATAAATATATTGCTACTATACGTGTATTTTCAAATTCAAATAATACTGCATCATCTAAAATTCTACATTAATCATTAATTCAACCACAAAACTGTACCTACTGTCCATACTAATAAATAATGTCCAACAAGAACCATTAATTAATATTGAATATGAAAAGTATACTTTTAAACGTTTTATCTCCACAATTTTTACATCAGTCCGTAACACTTGTGAGCCCAGAAAATAACCACATAAGATTCTGAGCAGTCAAACCAAGAAAATCCGTGCAAAAAAACTCAAATTTGGTTTCAAAATTTATAAGTATGGGAAAAGGTAATATTTATTGAAGAATCTCTGCAGATTTTCAGCTACCCATTAGCCATTTATGAGAGTTGCTTCAATTTCAAGATAAGCTATGGTAAAAGTGTAAATAAAAATATAAAAAAAAGGCACTTTGGTTTCCAAATGAATTTAGGAGAGAGCAAACAAACAAACCCATTAAATGAAGAAGAAGACAGGACCCTTTTACTTCATGTTCCTATATCGAGTTGATGCGACGTCCTATCTCAAAACCTCTTTGCTTTGGTCGGGGGTTCTAGCCGATGGGAAAGAACAAATGAATGCAATTTCGGACCTACCAACTGGTTAATGAATACAAAAGGAACTTTCAAAGTGGAGGAAGGATCCTCTACACCGCACTACTTGTGTAACACTTGTGAGCCCAGATCCTCCGCTGCTGTGAGAATTCAATCTACAATGTAGGGTGGAGATCACTCCTAACGGAGTGGAGTCCACTTCTCCAACCCTATTTCTATACACATAGGATGCTTAGTTAATGATTTATGCACCAACATTAGAGAGATTCAAAGTTCATATTAAGTCCCTCTTTCCTATCTTTGCAGCAAGCACTGAAAATGTGCAGTAATGGTCCAATACCTACCATGGCAATAGTTTCTTTTTCAGCTCTAAATATGTACTAAATGATTATTTTTATGAATTTTAAAGTTAATATTTTTTGCAGAATAATTTATGTAATATATAGAGTGCAGATGCGAGAATGTAACTTTATACCACACTCAAAAAATAAATAAATAAAAAATATTTGACCTTATTAACACAATATCTACTTTCTTATTATAGGAAAAAAGAAAATGTTAACAGACGGAAAAAGAAAATGAATAACCCATTTTCAAAAAGTGGAGTGAAATTAAAAGACATTTCTTAATATTTTATGCATTTTGTCAAAGTTTTTCTTCAAGATATAGTTAATTATTAGTACCAAGCTGAAACGCTAACAAGCTTAGAGTTAGCCCAAAATTATTAGAAGGAAATTCTTGGAAACCGATCTCAGACACCAAAGTTAAAAGATTCTTCACGTGAAGTGTTAGAAGTAACTAAGAACCAAAATTGAGGTTGACCTTAACCAGAAACCATATCCAGATAATAATAATAAAAAATTACTATATTAATATTATAGATATCTATAAATAAAATAATAATAAATAGTGGAGTACGAGAACATCTTTTAAGAAGACGTCATTATCTGCAAACTCTAGAGGTGGGTCAATCAATCTTAACAGCAATACAATACAAAAACAGAGTTTCAGATTTTTCGCACCAACTTTCTGCTCTTTTTTCTCTTTTCAACTAGTCTACGTGTACACTCTGTTTTCATCCGATGATTGGTCCATAAAAAAACAAAAAAACAGATAGATAAACCATGTAACAGTCAACACAGTAAGTCTCTCTCTCTCACACACACACACAGAGTAAGTAAGAAAAAAGATCTATTTTGTACCTTGTTGAGTTTCAAACGACTGTCCAAAATTTTACCCTCTGAGGTCATGAGAAACGTTTCAGCCATTTTATACAGCAAATACTCGTATCCTCTTTCATCCGCAACTAAAAATTCTCGCTCTCCAAAGTCTATATATGTCGATATTGGTTCAACCTCTGTAAACACAACAAAACCCAATTCTTATTTTTCACAATTTCTGATTCAAATATGTGATTGGCCGCTGAGAAAAAGTAGCCAAAAAAAAGAAACTTGATTTTTTTAGGAACCTTTATTGATTTAGGTCCCCGTGCAAGTACCCAAAAAAAAAAATACTCGAAAAAATAAAGATTCAAAAGCTCATTTTCGTCTATTTTCCTTGACTTTCTTAGTACCCAAGCAGGGAATATAAGAGATAAAACAAAAATAGAACACAATTTTGATGAGCAGTAACTGACCTGCCATTTCAAAATCATGAAGAATGAAGTCAATGGCCAGCTCTATAGGAGTTTTGGGATTACTGTAAAGAACCCAAAAAAGAAAAAGAATAAGAAAAAGAAACGGTTAAGAAAATTCCTTAACTTAACGAAATTAAAGCTGATTTTTTAGGAAAAGCCAAACAGGACATTACGATGACGTTTCGGAGAGTTCGGACAACTCAGCTTCAATATTGTTGGCCTCTTCGTTCCTTAGCTTCTGTATCGCCGAGTCCACCGCCTTCTTGTACGAGTCGGCGGCGATTCCACTCGGAAAGATCTTCCCACTGAACTCAACTCATCAAGAAAACGAGTTAGCAACTTAGCATCTGTATCACCCAAGGCGTATTCTAGACTTGAACCAAGAAACGCTAAATTACGCCGGAGAAGTAAATTATTCATCTATATGAAACCAAATCAATACAAAACAGAAACACGCATTCAATTCAAGCGCATTAAGCCCACGGCGTAATCTAGCCAAAAGAAAACGATAAACTGCGCCTATATATTTATGTATAGATGAAGAGAGAGAAACCTCCGGTCATAAATATTGTAGCGGGCATTGCTATAGTCGGAAAAGCAGGTACGAAGACCCGAATTGCGAGCAAGTTCCCAGACCGGGTTGGACTGTTGACCACCGACTCCGGCGATCCAACCCGCTCCGAGTTCGACCGAAACGCCTCCGAAACCTTCCTTTCTGATTCTTCCGCCGATACGATCTGAGGCCTCCAAAATCAATATGTCGTCGACGCCATTCTCCGCCAACACCTTCGCCGCCGAAATACCTTACAACAGCAATATCAGAAAGCGTGTCAGATCTACGGTTTGTAATAAAAGAAACAACTCGCCGGAAAACTAACGAAATGGTGAGCGACTCTCACCTGAAACACCTGCTCCGACGATGATCACCGAACAACGAGTCGAAGATTCCATAATAACGTTAAGACAGAGAAAGATATACAGACAGAAGAGAGAGAGATAGAGAAACGAGAGAGAGAGGTAGTTCTACGTGTTGTGGTGGTTCGTTAGCGAGAGAGGCAGAAATAGCGGGAGTGGGTTTATATAGTTACAAACTCACAATTGCCCCCTCGGATTCCATGATTTCATGTTATATACTTTCTCTCTCTAAAAAGAATTACACACTATTTTCTCTCTCTAGAATTGACGGGCGTTGAAGGTTGGTGGATATTGACGGAGGGCGGATTAGTAAATTTGAGAAAAGGGAATTTGAAGAAACTGGGAAGGGTGTATAAGGGTAAAAATGTAATTTTGGGTTGGAAGGAGAGTCGAAGCCGTGTGGTCTGTCTATATCAGAACGTGAAATGCATTGAATCGAAAAGAGAGAGGTGTAGGTGTCAGCGAAACACATTTGACACGTGGATCACGTCGTGGGTGAGGGGGGTATGACGTGGAGTAGGAGTTACGGTGACAGCAAGCTGTGGATGAAGTAGTGACAGCTCAATCATGGCTGTGCATTATACAGCTAAGTCAAAGTCTGGATTGAATTATTTGAACTTTAAAGTTTTGATTGACGCAGATTGGCAACATAATGTCGGACAGAGATTCTCTCCGGTGTGGCGGTGAGGTCACTCCAACTGTCTAACGGCAAGTGAAGTCCTAAAGTTGATGTCACAGTGGGACAATTCAATATTCTAGTTAAGACCCTGAATTTACCGTGGACTTTCTTGTCATTTTGCCCCGCTTTTATTTTTTTTATTATTATTTTTTGGGCAAAAAATTCCATCAACTGATCAACAAGGGAGGTTATTTTTTTTATTTTTTACGTGCAAATTAAGGAGATGTAGAGTAAGCCATTTTAGAATAACAGTACAATATTACTTCCTAACTCAAAAAATGATATGTTCCAAAATTCGACTAGATCAAAGTCAATAATGTAAATAATAAATTCTTTTGTAATTCTCTGTTTAAGAGTGATGTAATGTCCACATATGAAGAGGTTTCTAATTTTGTAGCCTAATTACCTTTTACTGTTATAAATATTGAATTAATAAATTTTAAATTTGAAAACTAAAAATAGATACAGTAATTTTGTATTAAAAGGAAAAGGTATAAGTGAGTTTAAAAAGTAATGGTAAGATTGAATATAATGATCACCTTAAAAAGTGGAATAAAGATGTAATTTTGGATTGGAAGTGCACTTGATGAAATTCTTCGGAGAAATTAGGAAACGCCAACATTGGCGTCGTGGTTAAGGCTAACTTCAAGTTGGAGAAAACATTAGCACTTCAGTCCAAACAAAGAACCTTTCTTCAGCAATTGGGTCAAAGGCATACTAATTTTACCATATTTTTAACAAATTTGCAATAATAACCTGACAACCCTAAAAACCCATGGGGACCTTCAACGAGGACGAAATAAGCCACTTCATGATACTAGCAATTTTGTCATTATTAACAAACATGCCCTTAGCGATTAGTACGCAGAATACCAAGATATCCAATGAGCTTCGAGCAAAAGAGTATTTTGATTCCTACGCAAACAAGTGATTAGTATGCAAAATACCAAAAATGATAGAATAGCGGAGAAGATGGTCAAAGAGAGAAGCATTGTACACCAAAATATTATCAAAGAAAAAAAACACAATTTTGCGCAAGTAAGAACAAGAAAGATCATTCACTAAACTTTGGAACATAGCTATAGCATTAGATAGACCGAATAACATGACCAATTTTTCAAAGTGGCTCTCATGTGTGCGAAACGCTGTCTTGGGGATATCTGGTTCATGAACCTGAATTTGATAATATCCAAAGTGAAGATCTAGCTTTAAAAATAATTGCACCATGTAACTCATCAAGTAACTCATCCACCACAAGATTAGAAAAGTGATCCTTGACAATAAACCATCTTTTTTGCAAACCAAAAAAACCAAAAATGAGTATGGAATCGAGCTTGGATGAATAAGGCATGCCTCCCATATTTCCTTGACAACTTTTTTCTATTTTAGCCTTTTAAAAGTGGGGATACTGGTAAGAGCGCACATTCACTGGTGGAGATCTAGCAGAAGATGGGATTTGATTATCATGAGATCGAATAGGTGGAAGAACAGTAGGTGTACCAAAAATATCGAAAAATTTAAAAGTAGAACAACAATGTCATTTGGTATCATAGATGATACTTTTGGAGGAAGTGAAGGATTAGAAGATAACTATATAAGTACCCTTTGCGCTCGACGATGTACCATTCCCCTATCCATAAACATTACAGCAGGAGAACTGTAATACCCCTATATTTTAAAGAATTATTTAATTAAATTAATTGCATTTAAATGAATTTAATGAATTTATTTGTTTTAAATTAATTATTTGTTTACTTGTTTATTTGATTTATTGGCATGATGATGTGCTTGATTGTTGATTGATTTGTTAGCGTGTTGATTTTTATTTGTATGGTATGACTTGGTTGTTAATTCTTATTAGATTATGTGCTACATGTATTTAGTTGTTTTAATATTAAGTATTTATTTATTTGTTTAAATTTAATGGATTGGGTTTCGATTATTTAGACCAATGGATTTGGGTCTTGGGCTGGAGAAGGAAGCCTCAAAGGATTTTGAATGGTTTAAAGACCCATGGATTTATGCATGAGTATATATATATATATATATAATGCATATTAAATGGATTATATATATATAATTATATAGAGAATTATATATTTATAGTAAGTATATATGTATAGGACTATATGCATATATATGGTAAGTATAGTTAAAAAGGATTTATAAATATATATTACATAATATATATATATTTATATTTATATGTTTTATGTATATTAATGTAGTTAGAGTCCTACGTGGAGAAGGATTGACAATATATATTATTTATTTTTATTGGGTGAGGAATATATATATATAATATAATATATGTGTATATATTTTATTTAAGATTATTATTATTTATATTTGGATAGTCATACTAGGAATAGGATTGGGGTATTAATATGTTTAAATATACACATAAGGTTATATTGTTAAAAGGTTTTTCACGTTAGAAAAAATAAGAGAAGTAGAGAAAAAGAAGAAGGGAAGGCTGACAAAGAAAAGACTGGATCAGAGAAAGAGGACGTCGGATTTGGAAGAGACAACCAAGGTTGAAACGTCGATTTCGTTTCGAAACCTTCAGGCAAGTTCTTTTCTAACTCTCCTCTTAGAACCCATAAGTTTATCACCTTGGGTATCAAAATCTATAGAGTAAATTAGCATGTTAATCACCTAGACATAGGATAAATGCATGTGAAGAAATTGATTAGAAAAAAAGGAAGAATCCTTCTTTAATTAAGAAACTTTCTCCAATTCTCGTTTTAATATTCTGACTGTATCTCTTTTCTCGAGTGTCAAAACAGCTCAAACCCCGTGTGGTTGAATGGAAATTCGATTATCTACAATTTTGTATTTCACGAAAATTTCGTGAAACGGATGTTTACCTTATCAAAACTGGGTTTGGAAGACAGTACGAATTTTGTATATATATATATATATATATATATATATATATATATATATATATATATATATATATATATATCTTATCCCATAATTGTTTTAACCAATTTAGATAATTTGTATGGTTGGGTGTTGACTAAATAATTCGTAATATTTGGACATTGCTAGATTGTGTAACCTACGTGTTATATACGCCTACATGTTATACTACCACACATAAATAAATAAATATAATCTAATCAACTAATAAGTTGTTCATTGATATTTAACATGTTTATATATATGATGGTGGTGTTGATGAAATCATAATAGGTTGTTTATTTAAATTAATTATATGTTTATAACTTGCATGGAGTGCCTATGTATGATTCATTTCATAGTTAATTGTAAAGTTTGGTACATGGTTAAATTGAAGGCATGAATGAATTGTTAAAGGCTTAAATAAATTTTCTTATTAATTGTATGAATAAAATACATACATAGGAAGTATGGATGAATTGCTAATTAATAGTATGGATAAAAACATACTTTTGGAGGCAGGGATGAATTGCCAAGACATAAACAAATTGTCATTTAATAGGCATGGTTGATTTGTCAAAGTATAAATAAATTACTTATAGAGGCATGGTTGAGTTGTTATAGTATAAATAAATATACTTCTAGAGGCATGATTGATTTGTCAAAACATAAATAAATATTTGTGGAGGCATGGACGAGTTGCCAAATTATAAATAAATTGTTAGGTAACTTCGATGATTAAATATACATCTATGGATATTGTGTTTATAAGTTGGAGGTGATAATTATTTTTATATTAGAATAAACTAATGTTTAAAGGATAATATATTATTTTATAGTATTAATAAAATAATATTAGCGAAGGCATGGAGGAGTTGCCAAAGTATAAATCTTTGCTATATAATCTTTATAAATAAAATCATACATTGGTGGATATTGTGATTTGGATTAAAGAAAAATATGCTTTGGATTATTATTTATTATTTAAATGGTTAAATAACTGTTTAAATATGGAATTTAGGTTTAAAAGAGTTTTTTTTAAAAGTGGAATGTACTTAATGGTTAGTTTAAATATGAAGGTAGTCTTATCATTGTTTATGATCTTGGATTTCAAGAAATATATGAATGAACATGTTCTTTATATATTATATATGTATCATCTTATATTAAAGGTTAAAACTTTAATTAGGATGATTTTGATTAGAGATGTTTTATTTATTAGTTTTCAGAGGCTTGGTAAAGGGAACTTGTTCATGGATTTAACCCACGATTTATTTTTCAGGTTATTAGAAGTTCCAATCTCGAGGTTGAGGATCCACAGCTGGGAGACTGTCATTCATCTACTCATCTTGTTTACTTCTTAGTATTGTTATTTATTGTTAGATATCTGGTGAATTAATAGTTTATGGTTTAGGGGTCCTTGACTTATAGGATTCCCGAGTTGTATTTTAAAATTTTAAATTCAACGAAATTTATTTTTGTCAAGGAGGTTTTATTTTATTAATAGAATTTTGTTCAGTGATTTATTCATTCCTTTTATTCTTCTTGTATTCTGTGTTCGTTTAAATA